GCTTAATGATCTGAAACGGAGTTACGACACTTCAAAATCGTATAAAAAAGGTGCTTTTTGTATAAATATTAAAAAAAATGTGAGTGCACTAATTAAGAGAGAAACGTAAGTACAGATCCACGCGACTCCTTCATCTGTTCATTAAAGAATAACGGACTTGAAATGCGTGGAGGCATGTCTTCAAAAATGCACTTTATTATTTTTTATTGTGCGCTAAGTTTTGAGAAATGCATGTCACATTCTGCACTAAGACACTCGGATGATGAACTGGCCATTTATTCGCAAAGAGAGCCAAATACGTTCTTTTTGCACAGACTCGACATTTGCACCGCAAACAGGAGCGTTAGCACAGCCGCCACTGGTATGGTTGGGGCCGTGAGACCGCCGCCTTAATCCTTCTGTGGGAAGGACGACGCGTTTTCTTTTCGACGGCATAAATAAACGAAACTTTTCGCTACAGCAAGAAGCACGCTACTCAAAACGAACAACAACGAAAAAAAAATCTTAATTTGAGTTGTTTGAAAAAGGACGGGTCCTCCTTCGCACGTCATCAAGCCAGCAAGACTGGCTTCTTCGATATTCCGGGCAAATGTTTGCTCTCCGGTTTCTATAAGAGTGATTCGTATCGATCGAATGGTTGCTAGAACGACACACAGCCTTCAATCGGAGCTCCATCAGCGCTCATTCTTGCTCGAATTAGGTTAGATGGCTCGTTTCGTCCAAATCTAAAAATGGAAATGCCTTTTTTTTGTGTGTGTGTGTGTGTGTGCGCGCGCGGGCGTGCGTGCGTGCGTGCGTGCGTGCGTGCGTGCGTGTGTGTGTGTGTGTGTGCGCGCGCGCGCGCGCGTGCGTGCGTGTGTGTGTGTGTGTGTGCGCGCGCGCGCGCGCGTGTGTGTGTGTGTGTGCGCGTGTGAGTGTGTGTGTGCGTGCGTGCGTGTGTGTGTGTGCGTGTGTGTGTGTGTGTGTGTGTGTTTACAGGGAAACAAGGCTCCGGTGGTCGGGGTATTATAGCGTAAGGTGCATCAAGAAGCGAGTGTGAGTCATGTACAAATAACGACGAGCGAGATTTAAGCGAACACAGTAAACCATACGATCACAATATCGCAAGTAGAACAAAATAGGGACGACCATGTTTCACTCGTGACACTAATAAATCGGGAACGTCAACTTCCCCGCAATGCAATCTACGGAGTGAACGGCAGCACATTCATTTGCTATTCATTATACCTGACAATCTCTCTTTTCTCTTGATTTCCTTCGTAGAGTTGTCGTGTAAATTTACGCAGAAATGTTATTAATACATAACTACCTTGGGCTGTTGAACTTTGGGGGACAGAGACTTTTTCAGGCCCCACGCCCTCACCTTTGTCCCGGTGAACCCCGGAAACCAGTAAAGGAAACAAAATTTTACTTGAAAACAAATACACCGTGGCACTGTTCCTGGTAAAACGTCATGTGCAGTGATACAGCGGAGGCAGCTTTGGTTAGTAATAATTTTAGCCTCTCTCTTCGCCGAGATGGACATCGTTCGAAAGTGGACTTCGTTCGAAAAACGCGTTTGACCGAGGAACAAAGTACACGATAAAATAAAAAAGTGAAAAAAACAGGAGAAAAAGAAGACACGTACGACAGACAAGTGTTTACCTGTCGTACGTGTCCTCTTTTTTATCCTGGTTTTTTGTGCACTTTTTATTCATGCTAAAGTTATAACTGTCCCATGGAGCGAACCGGCGTTATCAGCTTTTTGAAGCCGCGCCAAACGGCACCTAAATTCCCCTGTCCCATGGAGATAAGCCCGTAGTCTGTTGCAGCCACCCCCTTGGTTGGCGCGCCGCGTAGTTCCGAGGAACGCCACCCCACAGAGAAGCACTCTCCATGGCGCAGCGGCCCGGCCGCCGGTAGAGTGCCTCGATGTTGCTGGCCGGCAAGCAACGTTGAGGCACTCTAGCCGCCGGAAAGAGGGAGCGGTCGCCCGCAGAGCCAGCAGAGCCCGCCCGGTCAGACTCCGTAGAGGCTTCACGGCCGAGCTCAGTGCGGCGCGTAGCTTGTAAAAATACGCTACGTATACGAATGCTTTCGCATTCCGACACGTTAGCAGCCTTAAGTGTCTTTGTAGATTTTTTTTTTCGTTTTTTTTTTTTTTTTATCATGAATTATCACCAATTAGCCCAGCTTTCATCCTTACACAAAGAACATAATAATGATAATGTAGTGATTGCGCAGGCGAGCTGGTGGATGTTAACCATTTTGTTCTTAGCCCGAGACTGAGGCAGGAAAAGAGGAAAGTTTCGAAGTAGAAGAAAAATGAACAGTCGAGGACACGTCTCTAACACAGCTAAAGACAAGTTTATTTGGTCACCTTCTTATATACACTCCACAAACTTCACCACAGCACCTTCCCGATCTCGAAAGCCAAAAGATAACAAAGGTCTCACATCTTTCCACCACAATTGTCAAACGACCTTGACGTCTTCCACAAAGCAATGAACAATAGCTCCCCTCATCCGGAAGACACTTGTGAATCCTTCGCGTACACAGTACACTCTCTCCCTCTACTCTCCGACCCATAATCACAAAGCATCCCGGTAACAGAAGATATCAATCCACGTGATACACAAAGGAAGAAACCACTTACACCTTCACATTCAACAAGCACTTCACAAAACTTTCAAATCCGCAAGAATGATTTTGCGCTGCTGCTAAGCTGTAACGACACCTGACTAATGCAGTTGCCCATTGATTTCATTCTTATTGTTTCTTTTACAACCCTTTTGATGTCGTTTAACTCCCTGTGTATTATCTCTGTTTCACAAAGAACATCATCGTTTTAATTTTTCACTGGTAAAAGTGAAGGCCGCCTCGTCTAGCACAAAGGAAAAACAATGTTATAAATGTATTTGAGGAAGGGACGAACAGCGACAGGTTCCGCCGGATTTCACGTCGCGCAGCGCAACACTCGAAAGCAGTCCCAAACGAGGTTCATTGACTTCATGCCGCGATATTTCATTTGAGAGAATTCCAGGCACTTTATGCCAGAGTCATCCCAGGACGTCCCAAAACGCTTCTGCTCAGAGACATTTAGAGAGTTCGAGAATGAAGTGACCTGGCATCGAAGAGCGCGTGGCCCCTGAAAAGGGCTAAGAAATTCTACCGCGTCAAGTAGCTTCGCGTTAAATCGCACGTTATAAAACAATAATCTAGCACCTAGAAGGCCTTTTCTCTCCCAACGTGAGCATTAGTGAATCGACGCAGCGTTATCTAAACTGCGTCAGCATTGAAGCCAGCGCGTCGTACAGCGTCTCACCACCAGTGCGACGCAGGTACGCGAAGCGACGCCAAGATGGACGCGTCTGCCGCGTCGTGCTTCGGGCGATCCGATGAAGTCATGAGCAGACCTTGTCTTCTACGCCTGGAACGTCTCGTGACCAAACAACTTGCAAAGAAATTTCTTTGCTATCTCAAATGTCCGTTACAAACTGGGAAATGGAGCGGGATTGCCAGATCTCTCGTGGCGCGGCAACGATTGTCTGTAATCCAATCCGTGAGTGAGTGTCCAAAAATCCGTCACGATTTACCGTGGTTTCAAAAGCCTTGTAGGGTTCGCCACCCTACAAGGCTTCGACAGCCTCTTGTCGGTGCGGCGCCGCTATTCGAAGATAGGGGCAAACGCAGCGAAGAATCCACCGCAACCAGCGCGACACCGCACGCCAAATGGGCCGTGTCACGCGGCCTAAGGGAATCGATCGCGGGTGTCGCCGAGGAAGCGCCTGAGGGCGACCAGAGCTGCCTGGGACGGACAGTCTTGGCGCCTGGGCCCGAAGGCTCTGGGCGAGTCTCGACACTGCCGACAAGGAAATTCATACGCAAAGCGCGCTCTACGCTAGTAGTTTTGTTTGTTTGTATTTTCGATGAGGCTGTAGTGCTGCAGTTATCACGAACCAACAAGACAACTTCCCTCGTCTTAGCTGCTGATTAATAAATTAGGACAGAGTCGCTAAGAAACGAATTTCAAAGCAACAATGTTACTCTAACATCGGTACCAGTAACATCATTTGTCCACTCAAATACTTTCAGGGTTACGATAAAATTTTAGTAAGTGTAGTGTCGGCCATGTTTTTCGAAGTAACTGGGAACTTTGTTGAGTTCGAGACACGGCAGCCAAATGTATGCTGACAAACACCCATATTGGCATCGATTTAGTTTTACCATTTAACGCTGCATTTGAGGTACCTAAAATACTGCCGAGAGCGGAATGCTGATTTAAAACTGAACTGTAGCAAAATGTTTTTCGCGTTGGAAAATAAAATGACCTCGTGGAATAACTTGAATTGTTATATATGAATTGCTAGGAATGTGATTGTATTGTTAACCTATTTAAGTTTCGGCTCATGTATACAAACACTGCAACTTATTTACTTTTTAAGACCCTGTTTTACAGCTTTAATATCAAATTTTAAATCTAAAAAAAAAGTGTTTTTTTTTAGGGAAATCAAAGAGAACGTGAAGGGTACACAAGGTTGCCTGGCAGAGCCCTCAACCCGACAGTTCCGACGGAAAATGTAACTAAAATATCCGCAATGAACACTGAGTTGAGTTCACAGTGGGGGTCGTGATGAAATCAACATACGCTAGCACCGAACACATAATGATGTGGTAGTAGGGACTATCCGACAGGTTCTAAATAAGATGTACCGTGAACCGTGAAACACAGTAAACTAAATTGAAATCTAGATTAAAATGAACTTTGATAAAACATTTTAGCCTACAAAGATGTATAAAATAGAAAATGCGAGCACACCTACCTTGCACAAAGAGTGAATATCTAAAGATTGCGTAGCTAAAGACATTTAACGCGCAGTATGTTTTGAAATTCTCGACACCTCAAAGAGAACTGAACTATTTCAAGATAAATCATCACGAACTCCGGCATCTCTCGGCGATCTAAGCGAGAAACGAGCGCGTTAGGTTCAAACAAGCTCTACAAAAAATTCCCTATGCAGCTGTGCCTAGCCGTGGACCTCCGCTACGAGCCGGCGTCGGGCGAGCCCACCCCCGAGCTGGGCACTCAGCTGGCCACGGCGCTGGTGAGGCTGCCCACCAACACCGAGGGCGCCATCCCCAGGCTCTGGGAGGTGCGACAGGTGAGACACGCAGGCCGACACTATAGACTACGCTACTCGTACTTTGTAAAAAAAGAAAAAAAAAAAAGTCTTTGTTGCAGACATGACCCAAAGAAGCGGAGACGCCTCCTGCATGTTCGAAGCAGTTTTTGTATGAGCACCGTCACACGAGGAAGGAACACGCGTGAGACAGTGTTGGCAGATTGTTCTTTTGTTTGATCTATTATGACTGTGGCTTAAAGTCGGGGTCACACATCATACGCCAGACAGTCCGCAAACACGAGTCACAGCAATATCCGTGGTTCGAATGCCGCGCGTGCCAAGTTTCCCATGCGGCATTCCCATGCGGCATTGGAAGCACGGGTCTCGCGATGACTCGCGTTCGAATCTGTATGCAGCCTGTCTTTCGGGTGATGTATAAGCAGTGTTACTCCGGCCTAAGGGGGTACAGGATAGAAACTTGAAATATCCCCGAAATACTCCGATACCAGTGAAATGTGATCTATGATATCCGTAAATGAATATCGCACTCTCGTATTTTCAGTGGGTGGCTATATCTTTCGTTCCAACCGGCGGATTCTGGCGAGCGCTTCAAAATCGGCCATCGGGGCGGCGCGATGCGGATCGGGATATTTGCCCGTGACGTCGCGGTTCCAACGTCGGCCCAGGGTACCGTAAATACGATCGTCGTCACTTGGTGGCGCTAGCCTCATCGTCAACGCGTTGCAATCCCGCGGGGGGAGAACACCCGAGGTACGGTGTATACTAGAACTAAGAGGTGTGCCAAGCGCCGCTCGATCGCTACCGGGAGCCTCCATCGGACACAGCGGCGCCGTGGCGCTGCTACTAATGGGTCATTGACGTCAGACATTCCGACGAAGCTCGGCACCCCAACTATTAGATGGTATTAAGAGATCGTGTTATTCTTTTTAAAAATGCTTTAATTGCGTTTACAAACGAAATACTGGTGTCTCTGAGCTGCTGTCATAAAAGAGACCGCGTCTACACAAATAAATTGGCGTTACAATTTCGCCTTCGTATCCCTTTAAACGGGTAGATAAACGAAAATCAAAATAAACGCAAACCTTTCCGAAATGGACAAAATATGACCTATGATATCCGTAAATGACTATCGCACGTCCGTATTTTTAGCGGATGGCTATATGTTTCGTTTCAATCGTCCGATTCTCGCGAGCGCTTTGAAATCCGCCATCGAGGCATGCGATGCATCATGGGAACTCCGTCGCAATCGTGACACCAGGCTCCTCAGCACAGCCAAAGGCGGGCGTGATTATGAGCGCCGCCACGGCCGTGGCCTTTGCGTGTTACAATCTCGCGTTTCGGAGTGGCGGTGGGCTGCACAGCTGCACGACGATCGTGGTGACGTATTCATCTCGGCCCTTGTGGTCCGCGGTGCGTTCTGCCCTAATCTATGAACTCGAGAGGACGGGGATTTCGGCTACCAATGGGGACTCGGAAGGTGTCAACGAGGACGAGTATTGTCACTCTCGAACATTGTGACGAACAGGCGATTCGGGCTAGAACCGTACGAGCCATCCGACAGACCGACCGTCCGCACGACAAAATCTGAAGGGTGTCGGGGTCGCCAAGAGATGCCCCGCATTTCACAATGATTGGCCCACTTGAAGGTATGCGCTATAGGTGTTTTATTAACAGCGTGCTCACTTACCAGTTTGCTTCGCTTTCCGTCCGGTTGGCTGAACGCTTCTGTTTTTGTTTTTTTTTTTTCTTTAAAAAGAAATAGTCGGCACAAGACCTGGTAGCAACCGAATATTCTTGGTAGAAGGACCCAGACTCCTGAGGACAGTTGGTTGCCTTTCATAGTCCTCATCGTGAAAATGGTCACCATATAGGTGACTGGTTTTCACCGGAGTCGCGAGGGACGACGGACGCGCGAGACGGATCCGCACGCTTCGGAATTTCTCATCGTTCAGAAACCCGTGGGTCGGCGTCTCGCAGTGCGGCACAGTGTTGCCGCAGCGTTCTGCGGTAACAGACCTCTGCGCAGACGGCCGCAGCCCTCTGCGTTTGCGTGCATCCTGCACGCAAAGGTGATGAATAAACACATAAACGACTCAGCGTTACCATAAGAATCAGGCGGCGCGCGAAGCAGCGCGGTTGTGTCCTTGCCTTCACGGCTAGGGTTTCTGTACGAGCACGGCGTACTGCCGAGGGTGGCGCCACTGCGGGAAGAGCAACACGTCACGATCCCCCAGCAAAGCTTCGGCCCTTCAATTACACGTGCAAGTGGGAAATCGTTTTATTTGTTTTGAAATTACTTTTATTGCGTTTACGAACGAGAGACTGGTGTTTCTCAGGTGCTGACGCGACGTAGTATAATATACGTGAGCAATAAAATGAGCCCTAAAATTAGTTTCCGTACCCCTTCGCCACCTTGTTCAACTTTGACTATTGGCTCTGAAAAGCTCGAGCGCTTATTTTCCTCACTATGGGTAGTGCACGTGCTACCCACGCGGTTATGTTTTAATTTTCATAGAGCATGGAAGCTTGGCATTGCACGTGATTGCACCAGCAGAGGAAGTCGAAGTATCCTCACTCTGGGTTGTGAAGAAATCCCACCAGGCGGCAGTACCCTAACTTCTCGTCGCGAATAACATTTGTACCTTAACGCGCAAGATATAGCTTAACGTCCAGTTAGCAGCCGAGATCGCTCTTGCTCTGACTTCGGCCAAAATCAGACCAATGGATCGAGTCTCGGGCACCATAATCTCGGTCCATCCGGACGCCGATGAGGCTCTGCTCATAGAAATGAGAGCGAGACGAGTGAGACCGTGTCATCTATTCGCGACTCCAGCAAAACGGACGCCGCCAAGCGGGAAAACCGGGAACCAGTCGGTCCAGGTCGCTCCGCGTTCCGCCGCTTCTCTGATGGCTTTCGCGGACACGTGCTGTCGGCGCGGGGGCGAGCAATGTACTTTGACGAAGGTCCGAAACTTTCTTAAGTTTGCCTGAGTGTTCATTAGTGTGGTGAAGCCTCAGTAGATTGTTTCTTTCCATCACATGTTTGAAAGCCCGTTTACTCCACAACACACGGTCGCGTGCTTTCAATTTTTTGGATGAGGAGGGATCACGGAAAAAGTTTTGATTTCTCGTCTGTCTCTAATCAAATTCAAAGTGACGACTGCTTGGTAACTGATAAGTGGTTTCTTTATAAGGATGTAGAACAGTGGACTGAGGTTGACAGACGAAGTGTTTCACTGGAGGAAACACCAATGTTTTAGTCAAGTGAATGGGAAGGTTCGATAGCTGCTTTCCTTGAGTTTGGTTGTGCTCAATTAGCTTCAAGTTAATTTGAGCCACTAACGCCAGCCGGTGCGTTGGCTATTCATCTTGGCGGCTTTTCGCCGAAAAAGACCACATTGAACGAGTTGGGTTAATTTCGCAATTACTTGATTCAGAAAACCTGCTAGCTGCATATGATTAATGAGGGAAATTACCTGCTTTCAAAAGGTGGGGGACGCGTCTCGCAAAGTTAGAAGCTGTCACGTCATTAGGATCTATCGCGCCTCCAATATTTATATTATAACCCCTGTCGAAGCCAGCAGCAATATACGTCTACATTGCTCAGGTTGACTGGCCACAAAAAATACTCATTTTATTCGTTCAGGATTCGAAGTCGAGTTCAATGCAGAGAGGTCTGAGTGAATCTCCGAGGAAGACTCTCCTCAGTTTGTCCGCATTCGTCTCCGTTCTACCGGCTAGAACCATTTGGCTAAGTTTAAGCATAGTATCTCACTGTCTGTCAATTATACTTTTATTCAGCAGTTCACCTAATAGTTAGTCAACTAAGTTCATATTTTAACCCGAAGAATATACTAATATCGCTTTAGTGTGACATAGTACGTAATATAATACATAATCCGCATATTCATCAAAATGACTTCTCGATTGCTACTAAAACCTGAAGTGAAATACGAGTATCAGCTGCTTAGTGAAGCGCCAGCGAGTTGACATGCTCCTTGGCTCAAGAAGCGCTTGCTTAATTTTCGTAATTTTCCTGCAGCCTGTGTTCTTGACCGAGCACATGACTGGAGCTGTTTCTTGAAACGCGGACAGGCACAAAAGCTCAATTTCGCGGACAGATAAGTCGTATGGTCGAGGCATGCGAGTTAGCTAAAAATTACTCTCGGCGGAACATTTTTGAAGCCCTCGCCGCTTTCCTTAGATGATCAAAACTAATTAGAGTCTATTACCGTTTCTCCGGAGCCCATAGTTTCGGTTTTGATCGAAGTCTCCGAAACGAAAGTTTGACATGAAAAGAACAAAAAACATTGGCAAAACAAAACTATGCTCGGCAAGTTTATGCGCACCGGCTACACTTAACTGTCTCAGTTCAAATACCCATAAAATTGGGCATTCAACAAAAGAAAATTTGTTAAATTGAATGCGCCACCCATTCAGGCGGCCCGGCCGAGCCGACGCGACCTGGACTCAGCCGCCATGTTTGTTTGGTGGTGGCGCCCCCTATAGGTCGCTGGAGTCGCGAATAGGCTCGGCTGCATAGTCGCATCTGACAGCAAATGCATTTTTTTAGTTCGGGTAGGACTATCCAACTTCGCGTTCCTTTGTGAACTAACTGCTTTCGAACGTGTACAAAAACATATTTTTTTAAGTTACCCCTTTTTAAATGTTTCAAATCGGGTATGCCTTATAAAGTCACGCGTGATCGAGGCAGGTCCTTTAAATGCATGAGCGGTCATTCAACGAGCAACGCATAATACACAATTCTGAAGATCATACAATAAATATGAAGGGGCGTACGCTTGTGATCCAAAGTAGTTAAACGCAGATCACGACAGGCAACGTCTTACATCCGATTAGCAACCTTTGTGGGAAGTATACTAGTCTATCAAGAACAGAAAAAGGCGAAAGTAATTCTTTCGCGTCCCTTCTGGTTTGTCCTTTTGGTCTGACTCTGCCTGCAAGACCTTTGCACGTGTGAGCGAGCCCGTGATGTTTTATAAAACAGTATACACGGCCTAGCTAACCTCTTACGGCTCTGCCGCCTGCCAAATAAAAGAGGGTCGTAATGCCACCATTTCTATCCCAAAAATCGCAGGAGCGATGGGAGAGGAAGTACCTAAATACGTGACTCGGGACAGCGCTTTCTTTGCTCAAATGTTGGTGAGAATAGCGCATAATGCTCAGCATAAACTGCACAACTTGGGAAGGACTGAACGCTACGGCTTTCGCGAGAAGAGAAACTTTTATGGCGGGCGCGTTTACACTTACGGATTGGCGAGCGGATCCGCGCTGGCGGCGAGCGGATTATTGGAGCGGTGTGGCGTATTAATCGACTCGTCGATGGCGGAAAGTATGAATATGGGTCCCGGACCGATTCAGATTTTCTGCCAGCTACGACAAGCGGATCTCGCCACTCGGCTGCCTGGAACGTGCGTCTCCGACCGTTGTGCTTCACCCGTTCAAAATCCCTCGATTTCCGCCTGCTGATGTCATGGAAGTGTCAAGCTGTCGCTGGCCGCTGTCCTTGTGGTGTCACCCCGGCGGTGGTGGATGTGGCAGACTCCTGTTCTGCTGCAAATCGCTCTCTGGTGTGACAGTCCACAGAAGCCTCAGCAGCCAAGAATTTGGACGCCGCAGCGACAGCGATACTCGATTTTTTTCGTGCCTTTTTCTCCAGAATTTCTACGTTCAAACGCCATGGGATCGCGGCATTCGATAGCCCTGCACACAGCCGTATATGTGAAGAGGGTTCGGTCATTAATTGGTAAGAATAGAGCGAAAATAAGGGCACGCCATTGGCCGAAATTGTTTCAATGACCTTGGACACGATCATTGACAGCTTTCTGTGACCAACCACTAGCCACAAATATTCCCCTAGCGGAGGCAACGAGCCTAACAAATACCCTCCAATCATAATTTCTAGGTAAAGATGTGTTTAGGTTTTTCATTTCAGCTCGCTGGAGTTGAAATTTGCCACTCTTCGTAAATGAAGGGGCAACGCACGTGACGTTGTCGTCACGACGACATTCAGAACGCCCTCAAGCTTTCTTTCGATTGTACTTGCGATCGCGGCTGCTGCTGCGGCCGCGAGTGCGAATTCCGTCGGAGTTTTAAGGGGGCATTACCGAACCATCTTCGTGTATATAAGCTCTTTTCCGGATTTATTCTCGTCTCCTCGCGCTTTCGACGATAAACGTGATCTTTGTCCTCCCCTGTCCCCTGTCCTAGGTGATGGAGGAACTGAAGAGCTCTCCGGATCCCGTGGTCATGTACGGCGCCTCCCAGCTCCTTTTCACCTTGCTGCCCTACAGACTGGCGCACTGGTGAGCACAGCACGACGCTTTCTTTTTATTTTATTTGTTTAAAGCAATCAGGGATTTTCATCGCGTGCTTTCGAACCTACTTGCACGCTTCGTCTTTATACCGCGCGGTGCCGTGAATATCTGATCGAACGAACCTGCCGCCACAGGTTTCTCTTTTAGCCGCTGAGTGCCGTCGGCTTTGTTCGAGTCGGCAATAGCTGCATTTCGGGACCCACCTTCTTGCTCGTGTTCGTCAATGACTTCGCATTTTCACGTAACGTGTCGCCTAACCTCAATTTCCCTGCTTAGCTTGGGGGAAAAGTTGACGTCACGTAACTTAATGGTGCCACGTGACGTGACGTCACCATTTGCCCCAGCTATATTAATATTAAGAGGAGAAATATATTCGCTGAATTTCGATAGAAGAGGCCGCTCGTTGCAAAGAAAATCGAGTGATCTCGCACATTCATTTCATTTAACTAAGCGTTTTTTTTCTCCCATTTTTTTGGTGCGCCCGGCGACCATGTGTGTACAGAAATGTATGTCAGTGACTTCATTCCCCGGGAACGGCACCAATTTCGGCCGTTATGTAGCTATTGTGCGCATTCTTCGTATTCTCGACTACATACATTTATATTACTTTACTTTTACATTAGTTTTGGTGAGCCGCGTGGTAATAACGTTTATTTATTTATTTATTTGTTTATTTTTTAATGTGCTCGAAGTAATGAATTGGCCGCAAAGCTTAGAGGCAGGAATGTACGAGCGCCCTCGCAAAGAGAGGCCGGTTTCCCAACTTTTCTGCAGAGTCCGTAATAAAACGGTCGCCGCAATTTCGTACGCCCGGAGGCCTCGTGGGAATCCTTCCTCGTGTTCCAGCAAAGATCTCAAGGAAAGAATTGGGCAGAGATGAAAAGGCTTTCTTTTAGAAGGACGCGCGAGAGGCCGTAAAATATATCTTACAACCCCCCGTTTGCCTTCTTTATATAAACTAGTTGCTTTATACTAAAGATTGAGAATAATAATTTAAAAAAAAAAACATATCAAGTTAAAAAAAGATTAAAAATATTCCTTCGGACAGCGTTTTCAACCGCGGTAGATGTCGAGAACCAGAGTTGATAATTAGATATCGAGCGTTGCTTAAAGGGACACTGACGGGGTTTACGCTCGCCGAGGTTTTTTATTTAAACATGACATACAGGGTGAGTCAAAAGGATCGATGGCTGTTTGAAGGAACGGTATAAATCGGTTTCTAAGCGTACCAAGCTAAGCTTTTACACAGAGGTGGCCGGCGAATGTGCATTGAGGGTATAAAGATTTCACTGAGCAAACTTACCTGGGTAAAAAGTAAAAAAAAAAAAAAAAAAACTAGAAATCTTTATCTACGGCGGCCATGTGCTAACCAGAGGTGTCTGATTGGCGCAACAGTCGACAGATGTCAGCAGTACTCTCCGCATCGACAGGGGTAGGGGAGTTCGGCAGTGAAGGCACCGACTGCCGCATATTTCAGCGTCAGCTTCGTCGCTGACGCCACTTTTGTCGGTCGCTTGTTTTGGATGTTTCCCTCATCGCTGAGGCTCTTAACCCAGCCCAAAGGTGGTCGTCCAATCTTTCTTTTTTTGCTTTATTAAAAATATACGTGACTCTGCAGCAAAATATCATGGCGTACTCACCTGACAGTGACACCATATGAAATCGCCTAACAAAACAAAAATGGGTAGGTGTTAGTGTTTCTTTAAACTCCACTATTAACTTATTATTATTAGGATTAAACGTGTGTTTATTAGAAGGATTCTCTCATCACTTGTCTGCTGACTTATTAAGGGGGACTTATTAATTAAAAAAGTATATTAGCTATATCCGGCACAACTCGGTCTGCGATTTGTTGCGTCTTCCAAATATGCTGTATCAGCCGTTAGTTATATAACTAAGTCACTGGATTTTGGCAAAGTAGCGCCATTGCCTTTCCTGCCTGGTAGCCGGATACAAAGATATACTATTCGCGGCGACAAGTTTGGGTATCGCCTCCTGGTGGATTTTTTTCACAACCCAGAGTGGGGATACTTCAACTTCCTCTGCTGCTGCAAGCACGTGCAATGCCATGCTTCTATGCACTATGAAATTAAAAGCAAAACCGCTTGAATAGCGCGTGCACTCCTATAGTGAGGAAAACGGAAGCGCCCCTTTGCTAGCTTCTCGCCACGAATCATACAGGCGACCACACCTCGCAAGGTGATTGACTGATCAGTCTCAGTTTTCATGGCAATCGCAATTTCGGCCCATCCAAATCTTCAAAGGTTCGAAAGAGTCATTCTGTACCAGTCAAGCGGATATCGCTATGGAGCGCACCATCGCACTGAAAGCGTTCCTTATAGGCGTCTTTGGCGCTGTGCACGCAATACACTTATCAAACATGCTTATCTTCACGGATCGCTTATCATGATATTATTCTCCTTGCGTATCTAAAGACGGGACAAAGATTTTTCAATCCCCGCCAAACACCGGTACCGCATGTGATGGTGGTGCGATGTGCTCTTGTTTCGCCGGTGTGTCGACAACAAAATCTTGGAATTCAAGAAGCGTTTCTATAAAAGCTACCCGTCACCAGCGAATTTATATCGGCTCACCAAAAATGCGCCTTTCATTGGCCGGCGAGCAGGAACTCGATATGTGCGACCAGCGAATATCTGTGCGCTGCATGCGCTTCGCCGTGTTTGCTACGCTCAACGCCGGAGTATAACATAGCCTTCAAAAACACAGAAATGAAAACAAAACAAAAAATTGAAGAGGCTTAGAAGGGATACACATTTTTATGTGCTTTTTTCCGCAAAAGACACTTTTTTTTTTTTTTAGCAATATTTACGATGTAAGACGCAATCTAGGTGGGGCGCTAGGCCCCCGCCCGGTGCTTCCAAAACTAAGCAGCTTTTCTCGGCTCTCATTGGTTGGAGAGATTATTACCATGTGAAATGTTGGTTGTGAAATGTTATCTCCGTGCCGTAATAGTATTTAAATCTACAATATTTTTTTTTTCTTTTAGGTTTGAGAAACAAATAATTTAGAAAGAGTCGTTATTGTTTTCAAAACTATCCCGAGGTTGCTTTTCCGCTTCTGTTTCAAACGATAGGCACATAGCAGTGCCGGCGTCTGCGAAGTGATCAACGAGCAGAGCTCGTAGAGCTGGTCTATTTCATGAGTGTGAGTCGTTCTGCGTTCCCTGAGGTGTTCAGAGGAAGATCTCGTCAACCGACCTACTTGGCGACAACTTTTCCTGGCAATGCAGTGAAAAGGAGGAGAGCCCACGCGTAGCTTTATCCAGAGCTCGAAATGGGAGAGGGAGCGCGTGCCTCTACCTTCCACTGCATTGCCAAGAAAAGTTGCTGACGCAAGTACGCGCCTTTGGAAGCACTGTTGGCGCTGTGCGGGTGCTTGGGTTTCTAGCCGGACTGACTCAAGCCTAACGTCCCACTTCAACTATGGTGGTTGATTTGGCTTGATTTTCCTTTGCACGTGTTGATGTTGGATAAAGGTGTTGGTTAACGTAAAAGCGGCCGCGCCGCTTTGTGAATTGTGCAACCGTCGTGATTACAACCGTGGTTTCAAAACCGCAGGTACGAATTTGTGAGCGATTTGGTAGGGGTCAATCGAGCGCTCGGCTCGCGCATCAAGTTTGTTTAGGTTTCTTCCCATAATTTCGCATCGAAAGGAAAATGTATCTTGAGTTTTGCCGTACACCTAGCCTGCCAATGCGATTGCGGAGGGCAATTCGTCTGCTTCATTGCGGAAGAGTTGTGGTGACGTCATAAAGACGCGGAGCTGTGATTGGCTCTGATTGAAGGATAGCGGGTAGACCTTGAAGCAAGCTGCCTTGACGTCTACCCACTATCCTTCTTTCAGAGCCAATCAGAGCTCGGCGTCTTTCTGACGTCACCACAACTCTTCCGCAATGAAGCAGACGAATTGCCCTCCGCATATTTTTAGTTCGCGTTTTATTTGTGTGTCATGGCGCTCGCCCATCTTGCTCGTAGATGCCATGCGAAAAAATAACAAGAACAGAAAAGCTGGGAAGACTGAATATTTATTTTGTTGATTTTGTTTAGTCCTCTCGGCCACTTTTTATGCGCAAATTGACACATATCGATAGACGATGACAGACGCTTGTATTGGACCGTGGCTCGTGCATGATGGTACGCTAGATCGCCGCTTTCATGGTCGCGTCTTGCGAGCGTTGTAGAAGTTTTTAGACGGGGCGGATTATAATATAATCTTTATTTGGACTCCTTGAGTATCGGGTAGAGGGGCAAAAGGTAAACAAATTTCACCTGACGACGCCCCAGCACCCTGTACATAGCTCAGCAAGATACAGCAATAAACGCAAAAAAAAAAAAAAAATTGAAGCTTGTATTGTGTTCGCAAAACAGTAATTTTATACAAAAAATACAAGAAACAGCAATAATAAAATTACCCACATATAAATAATATTATGCATGATCATAAAAGCAAATAATAAATTGACAGTAATAAAGTGCTTGGAATTTGTTGCTTACAAAGAAAAGTATCGGTTAACAAGGATACATACAGAAAACAAAAAAAAAAACTGATAATAAACCCTATAAATAGAAAGAAAATTATTAAATAAACAGTTTCACTACGCTATTCATAAAATGGCAGGAGATAACGTTTCATATTTTTCTTGAAACTGAAAAGTGAAGTAGAACTTTTTATTAGCTCATTGATATCGGGGTGGTTGTTTAAGAGCTCGGGTATTTTATAAGTCAATGCTTGGGAACCGTAATTTGTTCGTATTTTTGGTTTCATATAGATTTAGCTTCTCAGATTATATGGCGTTGTCTTCGGGTAGTAGGTCTGACTAAATGTATTTTCATCTCTGTTGTAGTCACTGTATATATACATTGCAACTTCAAGGATAGAAAGGCTTTCAATGTCCAAAAGTCGTGCTTTCCAAAATATGGAGCTGTATGATCAGTGTAACCGGGGTTCTCAATACAACAAGCTGCTTTCTTTTGTAGACCAAGTCTTCATAGCAGATGAACAAAGCAGAAAACGGACGCCGACGCTCAGCTTTCATGTCCGCGGCTTGCAGGCACTGCAAACAAGATAGACGGGGGTAAAATAGCAGACGATACCGGAGGCTGTCGCACTTCAGCTCGCACGACTAGCAGGCGGGGTAAGACTCCAGACTAGACGCACCGGATGTCGCGAAAGGGGGACAAAGGCTTCTTAACGTGTTCGGCAGAGCATCCAAGCCAATCCAGTAGTAATGGGCGCGGCCACTGATCTGTGGGCGGTGCTTAGAGCGGGCCGTGACGTCCACCTAAATGGCGTCTAACTGCGTAAATATTACGCAAAAAAACAATTCTGTTTCGTGAAAAAATTAGCAATAAAACAAAACAAAAATATACGTGTCCCATTTACGCCCTTTAAAACTTTTCCTTCACTTAAGTGTATTTTTAATACTTTTGTTTTGAAATGCCATGAAAAGTTATCTGCGCGTATAGTCACAAAACTATTTTTTTTCCTCCGCGCTATGCAGTGACCAAGTTAGACCGTCTAGAGTCCGCCATATCTAAACAAAGAGAGAAAAAGCACCAAATGCTGCACTCCCGAGGAGACATCGGAGTGTGGCCCGCCTTTTGTACGACCGCGAGTGATCCCTGGTCCTGGACTCCGGGAATGCCGTTAGTGGATTTAGAGCGATCCAAAAAGGTCCATGATCACGCATTTGTAGAATGGTAAATGCTATACTCTATTTCACTTTATGATGTACCGCAGGAAAGGCTACAAGCGCGAGCTCCTGGCTCACACGTCGGTGGCACAAGCTCTCGTGCATTAATAATGGCAGCTACCAACGCTATGACCTCGCGCTTCTAGCCTTCCTTGCGGTACAACATAAGGCCAAACAAAGTATAGCTCATTCTTAGAGCCCTGCATATCCGCGGATTATCCGCGGACCATCCGGAGATATCTGCAGTAAACTGGCGGATGCGAATAAAATTTGGACGGATTTTGGCGGATTGCGGATCGGATGTCAGGGGCTGCGGGTGCGGATATCCGCGGATTCGGATCTAAATTTTTGCCGGTGGCATTGAGTCCGTCGACTGACGTTTCATCTACAGATCATGTCGTCGACATGCGACGTTTGATCGAAAGGCTTCCCGTGTTTGTTTCATCGAAAAACCTGAGTCGTTTCGTCGCACACAACCCTGCTATTTTCGTAACAAACGTTTTGCGTCTCGTCTGGATTTCAGGGGGGAGGGGGACATGGTTTGGTTAAGCACGCCATGTGAATCACGCGCTAGCTTTTAGCGGCTTAGTGAAGAAATACGTTGTCGACAAAACGTCGCAGGGGCATGTGTCCACAAAACGTACAGCGTCGACGAACCGTGTATCCATGAAATGCATGTCCGTGAAAAGTTGTCCACGAAACGTATTTCCACAAAACGCGTTTCGAAGAAATGATAGGGATCCTTAGAAAGATCTGATCCTTACTGAAGATCGCTTCAGTTAGTGCAGGTCATCTCGTCAAAGATGCTATCTATAGAAAAATTAAAAGTAAAGAATGCAGGGCATCAATCGTGCCGAGAATGCTAGTTCTTTGGCAGGGAAAGAGCGGAAAACATTTTTGGGCAAAGAAACTCTCAAACGAACAAGTCACAAGAAAGTAGAAGAAACCTGCCCCTCTCCGCAGAGGGTGGTGTGGTCATGATACCAAAAACAAAAGAAGTGCTTCGACAGCGAGCGCGACCCTGTGGCGCCACGGTCTGCAAAGTTTCGGAATCAGCGGCGCAATCACATAGGCAGCCCTTAAATTGCCTGTTTCTTTTTTGTATGCTTAGAGTTCTAGCCAAGAAAGTCGGCTAGTTCATATTCGTCCGGTTACGACGCTAGGGCGCCAGCAATGCCAGCGGCTGTCGCGCGCAACATCCGTAGCCGCTCTAAGAAAAAGAAGAAAAAAAAAAAAGGTTTTCTTTCAATATATATATTTGGGCGCCTGCAAGCCGCGATATTTCTCGAACAACGCGTTAGTCGACCTGATCAGGCCTTGCACTCTGACTTAGCGGCGCATCTGCCCGCTGGCTGACACGAAACATCGTGAGACTCGAGGCGGCCGCATACGCTCGGTAACATCACAGAAAGGATTTTGTCTTTCTGGCCACTGGTTCTCCTCCTCTCTTTCGAAGTTTTAGAGCGCAGCTCTTAGGGGCCCGTTCCCGGCTTGAGCGGCGTCGCCGTCGCCGTCGGCGTCGGCGCAACCAAGGTCACCCCAAGGTCACGTGACCCCCAAGGGCACCACGAGCTCACGTGACCCCCAAGGTCATCCCAAGGTCACGTGACCCCTCCCCTAGGGTCACGTGGCCCACAAGGTCACGTGACACCCAAAATCACGTGACCTCCAAGGCACAAGGGAACCCCCCTGCCCCGAGGTCACGTGACCAAACCGAGGTCACGTGACCACTCCGAGGTCACGTGACCCCCTCCTCCCGAGGTCACGTGACCCCCTCCTCCCGAGGTCACGTGACCGCCCCTCAGTACCCCTCCCTACTCCTCCTCAAGAGCTGCGCTCCAATTCGGCGTTACAGGGATTTGTAAACGGCTTTCATTTTTTTCTTTTTTTTTAAATTTGTTATGACCTTTTCTTTTTTTTAGGCGTTCAGACTTCAGGGGAGAGTTAAGGGACCACAGGCGAAAGTTTCCGATTGCGCGTGCGGCGGGGGAAGAACGCGGTTGGCGTGGTTTCCGCTGATTTTGCTACTCTAAACGTAATCGTAACCTCTGGTGGTTAGCAAGAACATCGACATGGTTCCACATTTTGCGGATGCGGTTCGGATACGGATACAAAGTATGCGGATGCGGATCGGATACAGATACAATAATGTAAAAAGCTTTCGGATGCGGTTCGGATGCGGATACAAAGTCTGCGGATCCGGATCGGATACGGATACTCAAACTCTTATCCGCGCAGGGCTCTACTCACGGCGTCATGCTTGTAACGCGCCAATAGATAAAAAGAGAAGTCGCTTCAAAACCGCTCCAAATTCACCGAGGGAAAAGACCCCTTTTAAAACCCGCCTCAAGTAACGTAGCTGATCAGCATTTCTTGGGTACGCACTCGCTCTCGATACGAGCTGAGTCAAGTTGACCCCGAACGTATTCGGCAGCCCTGGTATCCAATCCACGCTCAGAGTACGTGCCAAAGAAATGGCGGACTGGGATAACTTGCGTAGCAGCTTCTAAATGGCGGGCTGAAAACACACACACACACACACACACGCACTCACACGCGCGCGCACACAGACACACACACACACACACAAACGCACGCGCACACACGCACACACAAAACGAATATCAGTTTTTGCTTGCAGGAAAGCTGGCATAGAGGTTCAAGCGATCCCTTCCCTCTCTTTCGAAAATTTTCGACATTGATGAATCCGTGGGTTCTCGAAACACAGAGTCAGCCAACTCACTTTGAAGTGATTGATCGTATTGTAAACTGCTTCGATGATATCCACACTCTCAAGAAGTAAGTATACCTTGCTCACTGAAACACAAACACAAACGCAAACAGAAGCTTTTAGTTTTGTTTTTCACGAAAAACTTTATCGAGATTGAGTTTGCTCGAAGGTCTTGAAATCTCTAAGTAAAGGGTGATCGCTGACCTGATTCCTGCCCATCCATCTCTTTTTTTGTTTTTCCCCATTTAATAGACGGGTCTGAGAGAGTACTGAATAGAAGAGGCAAAAGAGTTGATTCAGGGTGGCCAGAGGGCCTAGTAGGTAACCTTTTGGTGGCGGGATTAGGAAATCAGGACTGGCCTGCACCGGCGAATTTTATACCTTACGGTTAGGCCGCTAATGATGTACCACCTGAGCTTGTTTTTCGTCAGTGTCTCTTCAATACTCGAAAGAGGGGCGGGGGCACGAGAGAAAACAACTTCGGTTATAAAGTATGTGCCGTGAACAATTTTCTTTGGTGCAGCCTTTACCTACTATCGGCAAAAGTCCAAAGGGTCAGGATGGCTAGTTGGGCTAGTTCGTTTTGCATCATGGTGTAATACGCCAATAAAAAACGATGAAAAACAGAACCTGAACCAATGATAAACAGAAAATGCCTAACGACTGGCGCTTTTGACGCTGCAACGATGTATAGTACACAATGCCGACTGCGCGCTCTCTGAAAAAAAAAATAGAAAGAAGTATCCGAGCATCGTACTGGCGTGCGGTCGTGTATCCCTACTGTGTGGTGCGCGTTAAAGAACCCAGGCTAGCGCGGTTGTACTGCACTGGCTAAATTGCTCATCTACAGCTGATAAACAATTCGCCAGTTGAGGCAGACTAAGTTCAGGTTGTATAAACATACCCCCACCCCAATTCCCCTTTTATCTTCGCAATTTCACCGCGACAAAGAAGCTTCTGAATCAGTGGCGGTCTGTGCGGGTAATGATATATATACTTAAATTCGAAAAGCGCCAAAAAATAAGGACAACTTTTCGAATCTAAGATGTACCAATCTGCCCAACTAGAAATTCTTTTACGAGTATACTTGGGCCAGACTAGGACCAGTACGCCTCTGCAAAGTCATGAACATTCCGACCCGATGTCGTTTTATGAGCCCTTTAATGATATATCCAGGTTCCTGGGCCTGTGGCAGCGCAAGCCGTCGGCGGTGCTGTGCAACGTGCCGGGCCCCGAGAACCACGTGGTGCTGGGCCTGAGCCGGGTCCGCTCCGTGGTCGCCTGGGCGGGCTGGACGCCCGACGTGCCCGTCGCCGTCACGGTCACCTCGTACGCGGGCGCCTTCAGTGTCGCCGTCTCGGCACAGGTCGACGTGGTCCCGGACCCGGACGAGATCGTGCGAGACTTCGCTAGGCAGGTGGGACGAGCGGCGCCCTCTATCCGTGACGCCACGGTCAGCATTCGCCTTGCCGCGATAGACACCTAAAAGATAAGGCCTGCGTGTGACGTCATCGTTAGTCCTACCCGCTCCAAGTGGCCAGCACGCTGGAGCTCGACGAGAGTGGCCGTAAAGCGCATCCGTCTTGGCGTCGCAGTGAGCTAGCGTCGCGCTCCTCGTGAGACGCTGCGCGACGCGCTGGCGTCCACACTGACGCCATCTAGATGTCGTGGGTCATGACGTTCGGAGGAGGCCTTGTTTTCTAGGAGGTATTGCGTGACGCTGCCAGTTGCGATCCCGGCAACTTTTATACGTTGCGGGTGGCAAGTTCCATGGTGGCGTCTGCGAGGAGCACGATCGAGTCTCGCAGTCATCGCACGTTGAACTCAAGTCGGACTTAAGGCCTGTTCACACATGCAGCGGAGCGCTACAAGCATAGCCCTGACCTCGCGCTAAGTGCGTGCTGACGGGATCGTTCACCAGCTTTGTATCGCACCGTCAAAACTATTGCTTATGGCAGACGGTAAGTGGCTGATGGCACGTGAGCAACGCTACATCAGCGCGTCGCTGCATGTGAGAACTGGCCCTTACTCACCTTTATTTCCGTTTATGAAAGCAGATCCTCTAAAGACGTCGTTGTGACGCTTTTGGTCTCTCACGTCGCCAACAGACCCTTTTCGAAAGTCAGAGCCATCCAGTGTTCGTTACGGAAGTTCGAGAAATGCCTGTTTTATTCGATGTTGTCACGAAGCCATCAGTTGGCTATTCGAAGCAACAGACAAACTGTTTGTAGTTCAAGCTAGAGCCACATATTCACTTGGAAGTAGCGACGCTCCTTGGTGCTTAAAATCAATGTTGCCAGTTATCTGAAGCTTGATCTGAAATAGCAGGAAACAATTTTCCGCCCTCCAGAAATGTGACAACCCCCTCCCATCCGCCCTAAATGGCAATTTGTTTATCCGGCACAGCAAATTTTGCAACAATGCACGCAGTATGCGGGACAAACCAACCCCCCCCCCCCCCCCCCAAAAAAAAAAAAAAAAAAAAAACACACACTTGAATGTAAAGAAAAATAATTTCCGAGAACACGGAGCCTAAGAATCGCGGTAGTGGTCGTGCCTTGGTTCACTGGCTCCTCTGGCTCGCAGTTGAACCACCTGTCGGACCTGTTGTCCAAGCGACGGATCCCCGGCGAACATCGGCGGCGCTCGAGTTACACGGCCGAACGTCGGAACCAGGAGATCATCAAGCCGCCGCTGCACGAGGTACTCGCTCAGCTCACAGCGATTGTTCATAAGCGCGGAAGGGGAAACGCCGGCGAACGTCCGCGCATACAGCCCATGGCTCGCCAAGAGGCAGCAAGGGCGCCGGCAATCCAATTCGTTTTACCCCAGTCTCGGGTACGACGTTCACTGAGCAATATAAATAAATAAAAAGGGGAACACTACCGCTCCCAAGAGCGAATTTCTGGAATCGTATGGGTCAGGTGAAGGATTTGGGCTCATAAGCTCCGCTAAAACAAATCGAGGTCAAGCTACCGCATTTCGGTTGTCGCTACCCTCGCAGCTGCATGGACCCTGTCGTGGCCTCCAAGATTCCCGGCGCCCAGAGCCCGTTCCAATCGCCGCGGAAGTAGCTTGAGCGCCATCTCGCGGCAACAATAACGGCCAGCCATATTTGCTCAATAATGGTCTCGGCCGACGAATAGAACGCTCAGAGGGAGTCGAGCGCATCGGCGATCTTGGAGGCCATCACTCCATACAGTACGCTACACATACCCGAATGCGCGGCATAATAGCTTCGCTAAACTAAGCTTTTTATTTAGTGGGGGCATCATATCGGCAGTATGCTTGCCATTGGCGTGTACAGGACGCAAGAAAGCTGGTCGGAAGTCGGCAAGACAGTCTGTCACATGTTATGGAACGCAGGGCGTTAGCCGCCAATGCAGAGTATCTTATTAGCGCAATCAATGGGCAGTCGATGAGGAAGCAGCAATGATCAGAGAACGTATTGAGCAGAGTTTCTTCACTTGTCGGTGACTCGAGAAGAGACCTTCACGAAGAGTTTCTTCGTGCATTGAGAAAACCAGGTCTGGCAGTGTAACTTCGGCCGCCACTATGGAACTTTCAGGATGTGTTTAACAACCTTTGCTATCAACTCCTAGACATCTACAGGGACATTGCCCCGAGGGATAAGTGTGTCTCAAGTTGGTGAGAGTGAAAGCCCCTCTTTCGTTCCATGAGCAACGTTTCGTGATTGTCAAAAAATCAGCGAAAAACGCGAAATCTTTGGCTTCTCCCAAGAAGGCGTGGAATGCTAGCAGCAGCTCATAAATCAAACATCTGGAGAGGTGCGAGCAACGTGGAATTTGTTTTTCACGACCCAGAGCGCGCACGAACGAAACAATAAGGAACACCTTGTGGTACGCTTTATCATACCCTCCTCTATACTCACAAATCCTGGCAGCTCGACGACGGAGCCATAGAGTGCCTGGTCGCAGATTCGGAGCGCGAGGGTCTGGTAGCACAGAGCATTTCTCGGGGTGTCTGGTATTCAGCGCACAGCTTTTGCAGCGGCAAGGACCCGAAACATGGTTTTCAAACCCCACGAGAAAAGGAGCGGTAGCCCAAGGAACGCGAGAAGCACGAGCGGACATTCCATCGCTCGGGACAAGTGTGTTTCGGCGTCTCGCCGCAGCGGGGCGCCCGTTACATGACTCTTGTATGCCGCTCTACCTCTTTACTTTCGGCGGCCGCGTCACGTGATGATCTGCGAGGCTTTGTCAGTATAGAGGAGGCTACGATTGCACCTATTTGCTGCTTAGTTGAAGCAGTTGTCTGGTGTACAGTATTGCCCAAAACAAAATCCCAGTTCGTCGACACGAATTTCGCGTTACGAGTTGTTAAAAAGAATCACGTTCCCACTTCAGTTTCAGGGTATCGTTACATTCCTGCATTCTCAACTGAACTTGCGCTCAAGTAATGTTTGCTGGATGTGGTAACTAGGATATATAATATATTGCATATCGAAATTCTTGTAAGTCTCGGAACAGCTTGGAATATCATAGGATCGAACTCAGAAATGCGAGTATAACCACATCATAAGTGGATTTGTCGTTGGAAAATAATTTTGTGGACGCGTGCCGCGTATTCAAAAAAAATAAAAAAATAAACAGACTAATTTTAGAAATAGTCAACATGACCTTACCTATACATAAATCAAGAAGTATGTCGTTCCAGTTGCCGTTCCACAGAACTTACGCGAGGACGTCTCGCCCCGGTTTCACTTGAAACGGTGGCATATGCCCCTTCGTATCTTGTAACTTCAAACCTCTCGTGCACGGTGTGTGACCTTCATTTAATATTCGCTTCCCTACCCCCATGCTTTGCCGCTTAAATTAAAATCTGATCAGTTCGAGGAAAGTTTGCGTATTGTTTGTGCTGCTGTACAAGCTTTTAACAAGTTTGGTTGCTGGTGAACCAGGGGTTCCTGAGCTTGATCCCCGCCACCGCTCGTTTCTACCTGGAGCTGTAATCTGGACATGTCGGGCGAAAAAGGTCGGCGAAGGATTCGATCGCCGTGATTGGTCGGCAAAAGGTCAATCGCGGCACCTGCCAATCACTCCTGCCGGATTCCTCGCCGACTTTACTTCCAAGTGTCCAGATAAGAGCCCCCTGTGGAACATCGTGCCGGCAGTAGGTATGCGGGCTTTTTATGGTGGGCTGTTTTAAACTCAGACTCGAAGGTTTAGGATAGCGTATGAGAGGTAGTCGAAACAAATAACTGAAACAAATTGGATCGTGGCGACGCGACGCGTAGTTTGATGGAGATATGTTCACTTTCTCGCTTTATTTTATCTACGGATTGTCCGGCCCATTATCTAATTAAAATACGCGAGGTAACGTTAAGGTAACGATGGTTCCAAACTTTAAAATGTAACGGGAACGCGTTCATTTTGGATTCCTCGAACTTGTATAGGGAACTCGTTCCAGACAGAAGGAACGAGCTTTTGCGCCTGCTTTGGTGGAACGTGTACGACGCTGTTACATTATGTACGTTAAAGCTAGATAGCCGTTCTGCGCTGGCCGATTTGCCGCTCTGCGGCGTTAAATTAACGTCGCCATTTCTCAATGTAAGGCCTCGTTGTATAAACATTCAATGTATAAATGTTTCTGTTTTAGAGCGCAGCTCTTAGGCGCTCGTTCGCGTGTCTTGCGGCGTCGCCGTCGGCATGACCGGATGAAGAGAGAGGGTAGGGGGAGGAGGAGGAAGTTGGGTACACAGGAAGAGGAGAGGGTATGGAGGAGGAGGAGGGTGCAGAACCAGTACGTGAGGAAAATGGTATATATATATATATAATATATATATATATATATATATATATATATATATATATATATATATATATATATATATATACACCTCAAGAGCTGCATTCTAGTTTCGGATTGCTGAGATTTGTAGACGTCTTTCATTTTTTTGTCTGTGAAAACGGATTTATCGCGGTGCGTCACGTGGAAAAAAGGCGGATAAAAAAGCCCGTCTCTGCACTCACTGAGAGCTCTCAAAGCGAGTGACGAGAATCTCACAGCCATGAGAGGGCCCAGGAAGCAAGCAAGAGGTTTCAACTTAGAAGCCGCACCCTAAGTTTTTCAAGCTGACGGGACTCTTCGGAGGCCAAGAGCATGTGTTCGTATCGAATTCCTTTCGACATCAATGCTATTTAGTTTTCACTAGTGCAATGCTTCCACCACCTGTTTTCTTTTTTCGTACGCTATGCAAAATGGTGTTCACAACCCTGCTTAACGGGAACTTAAAATAACTTCAAAGCGGACTCTTCACAAGCATCAGCGAATCATCTTAAGATCTCACTTCTGCTCGTGTCCATCCGCGTGCGCTGGTTCGTCTGATCTTTAAAAAAGGAGTTCGTTCCGAAGGCCTTTTGAAGGGCCCGGAAAGGGTGATATCAGAACACGACGAGTCACGAAGTTCACGAGTGTCAAACGAAATGGAAGAATGGCATTGCATGCGATCAGTATCGTACGAAAAGTAGCGTTCCACCTGAAATGTTCTTTGAGCGACAGTGATCGATGTGACGTGTGGCGTTTTTGGCGCGCCTTATGTCAATATGTCGTTGCGTCGATTCTTTTGTGGGCGGCTTTGCATTTGCAAAAATTATTTTCCCCGTTATCTCTATGTATACAAATGCCCATTCCTTTTTATTTTTTCACCTCGTCGTGCACGTGCAGCGAACGCTAAAGGCCGGTTCAGGCACTTGCGTTTGAGTGCGTTTGACTGCGTTGCGTCGAGAACCGAAAGCGAGTCACCGGCACATCTGTGCTTCGTATGAAGCGTGGAATCCAATTCAAGGAATCATCTTGGCACGCGATATAAGCAGCAGGGATGTCCTGGTGTCTCGCAGTCGCAACGCAGTTAAACGCAGTCAAACGCAACTGTCTGAACCAGGCTTAAGAGCGCGAGCGGGCAACTTCACTGGTTGTTCTCGCTGTATGGAGCATTCGAGCGACCGAGGTCTAATCTAAAACCAGAAGCTCACGCTTATGGCCTTCCCTGCGGTCCAGGTTAAATTGAGATAAATTTATGTGCGTAGTTTTGTAAGCAAAAGTAGTGCATCGCTCGTGCCTGCCAGTGCATGGGCTGTAGAGGTGCAGTCTTGACGCAGATTTAGACTTGTATGCCACTGTAGTTCACGCAGTTTGCCAACTTAAAAAGACCGATTCACGTGGTGTGTTTTTTCTACTGCGAGCTTTATGCCGCGTAAACCGCGCCTCCAAAATGTGTCCTTCCTTTTTTACATTAGCGGCGATCATTAGCGATATCTATCGCATTTGTGGAACATAATGTTTAAGCTGGACTCAGTTTAAGTCACTTAAGGTTACTTGTGTTTTTCTGCAAAAGTAACCGAATGAAGATGCTTGAAACGTTATTATGAAATGCTCGCATCTCGACTCATTTGTTATTTATGAGCAACTGTGTACCGTTGTTTTCTGGTTGTTTCCACCTTAGCAAAAGTGTAATTTCGCGCTACAACGGCTTTGGTTAGCCTGCCATGGCACCGGCTAGTCCACGCGTGTGTGCATTGATTCCATCTCGCCTCAGGAGCAACGCCACCACTAAAACTTGCAGAATCTCATCACGTGAATCGGGCTTCGGTTGTTTCGCTTTTGTTGTAGTGATCCTTTTTTTGCGAATTCCGCTCAAGGTCATCGCCGCACTCGTATAAAACTCTCGTGTTCAAGCATTT